ACCTCCCCAATGTGACCTCAAGATTGTTTTTCTATTTATATCAAGATTCTACACTGACTTACATTCACTTTGCTTATCGCATTTTGCATCACCCTCACATTTACCTTAACTGAACATTACACGTATATTCCTAACAATAAATTAAAGCTTAAGTGAATTTACAGTTTACCTCTATAACGACTCCCACTGGTCCCCACACAAAAGTACTTACACTTTTTTGTGTAGTTAAACTTGAAACGCAAGTCATAGGATAAACACCATTGATTAATTATTTTTATCTAATTATACCACCATTATATCAGTAACCTAAAGTGTATTTAATATAAAAAGTCGCATAACAGAAGATCAAATTATATAATCTGAGAAGAAAATTGGAATTAAACTGATACGTCACTTTTTTTTGCAGGATGTAGAAACTTCTCAGTATTTTTAAACATCGTTTGTTAGAGCAGTGGTCAATGTCAGCACCAGGGACAGAGACATCGGCACCAGGGACAGATATATCAGCACCAAGGACAGAGATATCAGCACCAGTGTCAGAAACAACAGCACAAGGGAGAGACTTTAGGACCAGGTACAGAGATATAGGCACTAGGGACAGAGACATAAAAGCTGCTATTTTACATGACAAGTCAAACGAATTGTAGAGACCTTTGAACCATCTTATGGGAAATATGAATATCTTAGCTCTATTATGGATTTATTCATTTATTTAATTAGTTATGTAGATATATTACCTTAAAACGAATGCAATCATTAAAAATTGCAGCCAATAAAATCAAAACCTAAATTGTATACAAAAAAAATACCCTGACTATATAGTTGTGTAACAAATCAAAAAAATTCAGCAATCATATCAATGGTTGCAATTATTTGATTAGGCTCTTGTAATGAATCTAAAAGAAAACCATCCAATCAATCAGGCATTAAATATTGTGGAAATACTCACGCTATTTGGAGTTTACTTGAAGTATAACATGTGCTTAGTATTAGTATTAGTTTTTCCCTTCTGGGTGGTGCCTGAGGTTGAACCGATATAAAAACTAATTGGTCCGGCTTTTTATCAAACCTGTAATCGGTGTAAAACACAGAATTGTTATAATAGAGGTGAAAGCTGTGGTCTGTAATACCTTAACTGCGTTTATTCATCTCTGTACCAGGTGAAACACTCTCTGGGACAGGGTTGGACAAAGATTTTAAACTAATAACTGGGTTGTTGTCATTATTGTCTGTAACCTCAATTATTGAGGACGCATATAAGGCAAGCTTCAGTAACATATATAAGACACATTATGCCTTTCAGTGAAATAAAGAGTTATTGTGCAAAAATTACACTTTACAGGTCAATAAATAAGTGAAAATATGTTTTTGGCAGGTAATAAAGTAATATTTTGTGTATTTTGTGAATTATTTTGATGTTGAAAGGCATGTGTTCAGTAAGATATATCTAAAACAATGTCTTTGAGTGAAATAAAGCAATTTTGTGCACAAATTATATTATACAGGTCAATAAAAAAGCGTGTATCACTTTTTCGCAAGTAAAATACTCTTTTTGTGGATTTTGTGGATTCTTTTAAATTTAAAAGGGGTGAGATTTGCAAGATAAATTTAATATTATGTCTTAGGGTGATTTTAGGAAGGAATTACATTTTAATATTCATATAATATTTCTTCATTACTCTTTGGCGAGTTAAGGTGTCCTATTTTTTTTTACCGTACACTATCTGTACTTATATTTTTTAAAATCAATAAATAATATTCCCCATGAAAAACAAAATATTACAAAAACTTTGTCATTTAAATAAATAATTGAGTCACATCCATCACAGCACAGTAACGTCAAATAAAAGTTTTAAATCAAATCAAACGTAGTTTTTTGCAAGCAAAGTAGTCTTTTTTTTGGATGTTTTCATTTTGGGATATAATATATATTACTTATTATGTCTTTGAGTGGAATTAAAGCAATATTGTGCAAGAAATTGCATTTTACAGGTCAATAAATTGGCGAGAATCACTTTTTGGCAGGTAATAAAGTCATATTTTGTGTTTTATTGTAATGTTAGACGGTGTGACTTCAGTGAGATATATCTAAAATTATGTCCTCGAGTTAAATAAAGACATTTTACACATAAATTACATTGTATGGGTCAATATGTGCATGAATCCCTTTTTTGGCCAGTAAAATACTCTTCTTGTGGATTTTATGGATAATTTTAGATTTGGTGGGAGTGCGATAAGCACAATATATTTAATATTATGTGTTCAGGTGATTTTAGGAAGGAATTACATTTCAATATTCATATAATAATTTTTCATTACTCTTTGGAGAGTAAAGGTGTCCTATTTTCTCTAATCAAGGAATTTATTTAGAATGGGAAGTTCAAATCAAGATTAATAAACTTTGATTCTTCCTTGAAATTCTGTATGTTCTACTATACACTCTCTGTACCTACATTTTTCAAAATCAGTAAATAATATTCCCCATGGAAAACTATGACAAAAACGTTTTAGTTTAATTAATGAGTTACATCCATCACTGTACAGTGACGTGAAAGAATAGTTTTAAATCGCATCAAACTTATTGCAGATACGTAAGTTTTCTTTTATTGCAAAAGTCCGTTTACAATTTGCAGATGTTTACAACGATTAACATGTGAAACGCAGCCTCTGATGGGGAGAAGACGAGGAGAAAGGTAAATAAGAAACACGTCTGCTGTAACATCGGTCATACAAACATTACTGTTTGACTGGAGTTAATAGTGTTTGATTTCAAAATCTAAAACACAGAGCAAGACACTTGATAGAACACAGGCAGTCTTGGCTTACACCCGCTTTAAACAAGCCTCGTATCCCTTTGTTCACTGCTCTGCGGGGACTCAGCCGATCTTAGCCGATCTTCTTTTGACAGACGATCACTTTTTGGCACAGCTGATTACGTCATCGATCGTAATTAAAAATAATTCTATCTCAGAAACCAACTCAGCATAAATGATAGTTTACTTGCAAAAAGGAAGCAGGCTTAAAAAGTAGGCTAGATAATTTTGATTCAATTCGTAGCTTAATGGGGAGATGGTTTACCTCTGGATTTCTTCAAAATAGTATTTTTAATATCTCTGAAACAAAAGTAGCAGACATGATCTTTATTTATCCATTTCCCAAATGAACATTTTAAGTGCACAAACCTGCACTAAAGAAACAATAACCAT